ACACTTTTCATCTGTCAAATTTTAACTGCAATTCTTCCATGCTATCAGCCATCAAGACTAAATCATCTGCATACAAAATCTCAAATAACAACCCCTCCATTATGTTTCCACACACAACATCCATCACAATTGCAAACAGAAACGGTGATAACACTGATCCTTGATGCACTCCTACCTTAACACTAAAAGCGTCCGACATCCCCCTTCCAACCCTCACCTTTGTCTTTGCCCCTTCATACAGCTGCATCACAGCTTTAACAAGTCTCTCATTCACTCCTTTCTTCCTCAACGCCCATTCAATGACCTTCCTCGGTACTCGATCAAAAGCCTTTTCTAGATCCACAAAACACATGTACAATCTTCGTTTCTTCTTTCTATAATTCTCCTGCAACATTCTCGCCATGAACAACGCATCCACCGTTCCCCTACCAGGCATAAACCCACACTGCATTTCATTAACTGTCACCATACTTCTCAACCTCCTCTCAAGCACCCTCTCCACTACCTTCACTCCGTGCTCTAGTAATTTCACACCCCTGTATGACCCACAATCTCTCACATCTCCTTTGCCCTTATACAACGGCACCAACACACTGTGTCGCCAATCCTCAGGTATACCTTCATCATCAAACATACTGTTAGCAATTCTCATCATAACTTCAATTCCTATCACCCCACTCGCTTTAATATGTTCAGCCGCCACTGATGATGAAAATGATTATACAATAAATAAAAATGATAACGAAGATTAGGATGATAATGAGAGAAAAAAAACCAACTTCTGTGATTGGATACGCAAGAGGTCAAGGGATGATAGTGTATCAAGTATATCCTGCTTATCCATACCAGTGCATTCCGAGATACCTGTCAATCGTTATTTAAATTATCATCATGGTCATTGTCATCACCTGCTTCATCATCGCCAGCATCATCATCATCACGGACAACAACATCATCGACAACAACATCATCGACAACAACATCATCAATATAAACTACAAAAGCAACAATTTGTAACCTTTAATAGTAACAGTTTGACCTTTGAACTTATCGAGGTGTTCGACAATGGCGAACGACCAATAATATGAGTAACTCATCTGCCCCAGATCTGATAATGGTTTCTCGGGGGTACCTGTAGCACCTTCTTTTCTTGAAAGCAAGTAGCCTGTAATGACGACGACGATGATGATGACGATGAGAGTGCAATGATCATGTGGTTATTGTGATAATGATAACGATGATAAAACGAAACAAAATAGCAACAAACAACAACAAACAACAGCAACAAACAAATAACAACAACAGCAAACAACAAATAGCAACAACAAACAACAACAGCAAACAACAAACAACAACGACAAACAACGTACTGAAGTCAATGAGGAAAGTTCCGTATCCATTCCTCTGGTGTTGTGGCAGGGTCATGATGCATGATAAGTTGTACTTCTGCTGACAGTACTTCTCCTGATGATGATGGTGACGATGATGATGAGGATTATGACGTAATGATGACGTAAGGATGATAATAATAGTCAGATGATGATGACGATGATAACGGTAGCAAGTTAAGGCAGACGTATCAATGATGATAGCAATGGCAAAAGATGATTGTAACTGTGAAAATGACAACAAAAAACGACAACAACACAAGTGTGTTAAACAAACACACCATACACGCGCGCACACACACACACACACACACACACACACACACACACACACATAACACACACACACACGCACGCACAGAAAAACACACACCACTACAAAACAACAACTCGCAACTTGTTGCAGTCACCCACCTTCGAGAAGTATCCAACAAAGTGGCATCCCAGCTCGTCATTGATGGTAAGAACGTAGAAGAGGAAGGGCTCGACGTCATAGTAGAGGGTTTTGTGGTCGAGGAAAAGTTTAGCAAGTAAGCAGACATTCTGGGCGTACAGCTTTGACTGGTTGCCATCGACTTCGAAGATGGAATTGTTGCCATCCCTGTAAATCTCAGTGCCCGGGGGATGACGCAAGTGGCATCGGAGCTGAGTTTTTGTGAGGTCAGTTTGTTAGTTGTGTAAGGTTGGCAAGTTGATTGGAATTAGGCAGATTAGATTCAAATGGAAATGTTTTACTCGGTGGAGATTGTGAGGACGAAAGTGAGTGTGGTGGAAGGAAATGATGAAAAAAATGAAGTGAATTACTTGGTGTCTTCGGAGAATGCACTTTGATTCTAAGTAGGTTAGGCAGAATTCACATATGTACAGGATTGGCAACCTGAATGATTGATTGATTGAATGAATGAATGAATGAATGAATGAATGAATGAATGAATGAGTGAATAAATGAGCGCATGAATGAGTAATTTGATGAAAGCACGATAGAATGAATGATTGAAAAGCCATAGAATAAATTAAGTGAACGAATGACTTAAGGACTGTTCTATTTAAGATTGATTCATCGTTATTACTATGAAAATTAAATAATAAACACAAAAAAAATTCCAAAATCAAAAAACGAAAGTGAAACTAACTTATTAAAGCCAGAAGGATACGGTGACGAGTACCACGTTTTAACCTGGAATTCCCCAAATACAATTTCCTGTACTGAAGATTGGTGTCCTTCTTCAGCTCCATCACATCCATCATCACCACTGGGCTGTTGTTGATGATCACGTGACTCAAGTGGCGGGAATAATTTCTTAAAACAAAATACACAACTATTAAGGGGTGAATATAATAATAATAATAATAACAACAATAGCAATAATAATAATAATAAGATATTTAAAAAAAATAATAATATTATTATTTAAAAAATTAAAAACAGAAAGATAATTAATAAGATACCCGCTTGACGGTTTCCTGGCATTTTTGAAATATTTCCATTTCATCTGGCGGAATATCCCGGATATCCGAGGCAGCCTTCTTGAACTGTTCTGTAAAGTAATGATGATGTGATGATGGTGGTGATGATGATGATGGTGGAATAATGAAAAATAGATGATGATGATGATGATGATGATGAGAAGATAATAATGATGATGACGAGAGGATGATGATACTGATGAGAAGATGACAGTGATGATGATGATGAGAGAGAATGTTGGTAATGGTAAGAAAATGATGGTGAGGGTAATGATGGTGGTGATGATAGTGATAAAGGATGACAAAAACAACGATGATGATGATACCTGACTCGTACGACGACGTATTGAAACTATCATCACTTAATTTGTATCTCTTCAGACCCTTATCTTTCAAGGAATGTATCTTTCTGTTTGATTGGAATGTGTGTGCGTGTACGTGTGAGTGCGTGAGTGCGTGTGTGTGTGTGTTGTGTGTGTGTGTGTGTGTGGTACATTACATTGAATAATTCATTGACACTACTATTAATTTAAACCATCTCAATTTATGAATTCAAAGAAACATGCATCTCAAAATAAAATTAAAAAAATGGAAACAAACAATGAAATGGACACTAAACAATTTAAAATAGCACTAAACTGTTTGTTCTTGAGATATTTCTTGAAGCCAGACGACTGCTTCCTGAGAAAATTGAACCCGGTTCCTCTGCCTCCACTTGCAGCAGCCCTACCTCTACAGCTACCATCTTCAGGCCTCTTCAGAAACTTTGGGGGTCTCGCTGATCTCCTTTTATCTTGTTCACATATGCAACATGTCCATGATCCTGATGATGACGACGACGATGATGATATTGATTATGATGATGATTTGCAAACAATCCAGCCAACCAACCAACCAACTAACCTTTGACTGGCTTAAGTATCGGTGGATTGCAGCAATCCATATGGAAGCCTCTGTCACAAACATCACAAAACAACATGGAGCCCTGCATTTTGTTTGTTGCATGTTTGGTTTTATATTTGAAAATAAAAGCATCAACATCATTATCATAATCTATAAACTCACACATACAAACACACACACACACACACACACACACACATACATACATACAAACAAACATACACACATACATACACAAACACACATACAAACAAACAAACATACGGCACGATGGGCCTTAGCACAGATGGAACACTTCTTGCATTCGATGCACTGCCATCTCATCGTTCTAACCTTCTCCATCAGCTTGTCGGAGAACTTCAAACAACTTTGGTGTCCTGTTGGCGTGGTGGTAGTGATGATTGCGATGATGATGGTGATGATGATGACTAAGGTGATGATAAAAAATAAATAAAGTGCATGATGAAAATATGACAATGATAATAAATGAATGAAAGAATGACTGAAGGAATGAATGAATGAATGAATGAATGAATGAATGAATGAATGAATGAATGAATGAATGAACCAATAAACAAATGAATGACCAAACAAATGAATGAGCCAAAGAAATCAAAGAAAAAATAAGCAAACGAACAAACAAACGAATGAACAAATGAACAAACAAATGAATGAACAAATGGACAAACAAATGAATGAACAAATGGACAAACAAACAAAAGAACAAACACAACAGTCGACACAAACACCCACCACTCCTGCCACACTCCACGCAGCAAATTATTTCTTCGACAGTCTCCCCATTGTCGCTCAGTTTGTTCTCCACCAGGCAGAGGCTGCATATTGGGATTGGCGTGGCTGGTCTCTGCAACAAGGAAATAAATATATAATTATTTAGTATCTTTGAAGACGGTAATAGATAAAAATTATTATTTTACTTATTTATATATATATATATTATATATATATATATATTATACATATATAAATATATATATATATATATATCACAGTCATATTGTATTTCAATGTATTACAAAACTCTAATTTTTATGTTTTAAAAGTGAATGTCATTTAGTTGAATATGAAATTAATTTTTTCATTATATACTAGCAATAGAAGTATTCAGAAAAATAAATTAAATCTGATAAAATAGTTATTATTTTCACTTTGTTGGAAACAGCTCTGTCAACAAATGGTTCTTCGTCATCATCATCAGCATTGCTTGCCCCAGTGCAACTATATTTGCCTATTTTGAAAAGGAGGCCATTTCGGACCAACAACTCATTCGTTACCATCTTCAAGCAGCAAATTTTGACGGTATATTTAAGGACGACGGAACTCAAATTTCTACATAAATCCGTACATGCCATTTCTTCACAAATAGTTTTCAATGACAAACCTTCCTTAGTGCCATGTTGCTCAATTATACCTTGTATGGCTGCGTAGATTAGTGATTTTTTCGGTCCCTTGTGGGTTTTCGGGAGGGGCTGTACAAATTCCTGGTAAGCCACCTCGTCTCTTTTGTAGACTTTCGTGAGGACGCCATTTTTGACAGCTGCCTCGAGAATATCAACAACGAATTTCTTGTCTTGGAAAACCAGGTTGTGATGATTTTTTAGAGATTTGAAAATGCGCGTCAAGTTGGCTCGTTGCCTCTGGCCTTTGATGATTCTAATGGATTTGATTAGCTGATCCAACGTTGGCGGTTCACTGTTTTTCATTTCGATTAGTGAAAAATTAAGTGTCCGGAGCGTACAATTATTTTTTAAAAATTTAGTTGCAATGAACGACTGTTATGTGTATACTATGTGTACCTCGTTTGTTTATTACTTCAAATTCAAAACAATGCATTTTACGTGGGGTAAGTTACTACAGCAACGACGTTGTAAAATTTTACTAGCGCTTCACTAACGCAAGTTGGAAATTTTCCGACTTTGGGTTTACCTAATTTAACGCAGGAAGCGCACGCACTTATTAAAACTCGTTTTTCTAAAAAGTACTATTATAATCCAGATAATGATGTTGAAGTTAGAAATGTACTCTATGCAATATTGAAGTATGCTGTAATGATAAATTTAATTTGAACGTGGTTCCTTACGTTCAAATATACACAACAATCGCATTGATAGTAAAACTCCGGCTCGTGAAGCTATCACATAGATGTAGATAGAGCAATAAAATTACGATTTCGTCTCGAAAATTTCTGATTAACCTAGTAACCGTTCATTATTTTCTTTCCTCACATTTTGATATAAGACCTATATTTTATTATTTCGTTGGTGACTAATATTTCATTTAGAAATATAATTTCTCCGCTCTACATAGTAATTACATGACTAAAACATAAAACAGTTCGCGTCAACGATTAGTCAAAAGTATCGGAGAAATGAAATATGACCGGCTGTTACATATCATTGACTAGTACAATTCAATAGTTTGTCAAAAGAAGGAACTCATTCGAAACAAAAGACAAACGGATCAAAATGATAACGATGATGATGATAAATTTTTATTCATTATCCCAAAATAACTAAATACAATATCACAGACAGAGAGATCTAAATAGAACTAAAAAAATTTTTTCAGTTTTTCTTCATCGTGTAGGTACACATAATTATAAATCGGTCGGTCAACAAAAATTAGCCTAAAATTTTATAAAAAAATAAATAAAATAACTACTGTGACCAGAACGTTTTTAAAGTTGAAATGAATAATTAATAAACAGAAATAAATAAAAATAGCCATAAATATATAAAACAAATAATATGTATATAAATCTGTTTGTTAATGCATAGAAATATTATTATTATTAATATTATTGTTGTTGCTCTTGCATGTCAACGTCAGGAAATCATTTTCAAAGATCAGTTGGTGAGGAGCAATAAATTAATTACGATGGTCGAAAATATATCTATGGTTTGAAAAACAAAACAAGTGAAAAACAACAACGACAACACAAAACTCCATACAAAAAAAACTGCTCAATCTGAAAGCCACCCTTGTAATTTATGATGAACATTCGCCAAAAATCTTAACCAATGAAAAAAATAAACTACCACTATCTATCGATGAAGCATTCACTTGTTTTACCTTTTCAAAAGGAAATTCTAGAGAAATTCAATCAGATCAAAGCGAAAGAACATTCATCAGATATGTTGGGATCCCTATGTTCAATTTACAAACATATTATACATACGACGACTTCCGGCTTGTATAAAAACAATTAACAATTAAACACACACACGCGTACACACACACGCGTACGCACGCACACACACACACACATATATATATATGTGCGTATAAGGTGAAAAATGCACAACATGATACAAATGACACAACAATAAAGAACAATATAAAAATACAAAACACGTCATGATAGATGATGAACAAAATATTTTGCATGAGACACAATGACGATTCACACGGTGAATCAAATTTAAAGAATAAACAACGATATTTGAAATTAAAACACATGTACGAAGACAAATTATGGGACTTCACTTGGGTAGTTATTGAAAAAACCTAACAAATTAACAAGCGCTGTTTCGAACAGGTTAAAAGAAAATTATTTAAATTCAGAAAATAAAAAAGAAGAGGAATCTTCTTGAAAGAAACCAAATTTACACAGTGAAAACAAAAACAGAACAAGAGGAGAAAATAAACAGAAAAAAAACTGCAGACTAGTACAAAATGAATAAATAAAATGGAAAAAAGATCAGTCGCATTTGTGTCGAGCACCACATTTTCCAGTTTTGACGCAGGATTTATGGCAAGCAGAGAGAGGTGGATAACAGCAAAGACAAGGCATAAAAACGGAAAGTATGGCCGAGAGAAACCACTTTTTAAAATTTCTATGGTGTCCATCCGTGCATGAACAAACCTCTCCATAATCTCCATTTTCATCAGCAGCAAAGTGGTAGAGAAGAGCGCGGGCACAAGCCACACACGACACAGCTTCAACGCATTTCAAGCACTGGTCCGAACCGTACGCGCATCTTCCGGCGCAGTTTTCAGTCTCGTAATAGAACTCTCGACATTTGAGACAGCGCCGTCTCGATTGTGCCATGTGCAGTTGCTGCAGGTTGCCTGACGATGAATGTTTCGAACTCAAACTGGTCACTGAGAAGCATTCCCTCTCTATGTTCTGCTTGCTATTGCTACTGTTTGTGCTCGAATTGTTTTTCTTGTTGCTATTACTACTAGTATTTTTTCGTTTTTTCTTTTTAGTTTTTTTGTTGCTCGAATGAAGTTTTTCTGGTAACCTCAATGTGGATATGCCGTATGAATCTATACCTGTATATGAAGATGGTGAAAAACTTGAACTCGGTGACAGATGTCGCCTTGAAGTTGGGTTCGGTTGATACGGATGGTGAAGGTGGTGTGCTTCCCCCGAAGAATCGAGTGTCGGGTAGAAATATTCATGAACAGTGTGACACGTGGCTTTCGAGTTTCGTCGACTCGAAAATGCTGCAAGATCGGACTTTGAAAATTGAACGTAGCTGGAATCGGTTGTGTAGCAGTTCATGGCGGAAAACTCGGGCATAGATAGATCTTCTCGTTTGATCCAGACATTTGTTCGATCCTCACTCTTGCGGTGATGTATCCGTTTCCTATCCATCTTCATGTTCCTCCTGCAATGAATGTTCTCAACTCTCACTGGTCTAACCACATCACTGCCACCTGCGACGGCATTGCTGCTGCTGTTGTTGTTGCAAGCATCGCCCTCCTCAACTGCATCGTCATCGACACTATTCAGGATGCTGTTCCAGACAGCCCTGCTGGCGAGGATGGCATTGCACCTGTTGATGTTCTCTTCATTCCGAGACAGACGTATGTTGTGCAGTGCAGGATAGCTCAAAGGATAGTTGGAGAGGAGGATGGAGGAATGACGCATGTTGACCCGATTGGTGGCCCCGGGAGATGGAGTGCGGGCTCTGGACCCCGGTAAGGAGACGGTGTCTTTGATCAGTCGCGACTCCTTTTAAAAATTGTGTTTTCAACTTTCAATGAATGAAAGAGAATGATCTACATGAATTTTGGTTTTTATATTATGGATGAAAATTTCAATAAAAAAGGTCAGGCTTTAGAGTTAAAAATTGCTGGTAATAACACAAACAACATGCTGTCAGTTGAAAGTGAAAAAGGAATGAAAAATTTTGTGACACTCAATTTGTGCTAATTAAAGAGAATCAAACGAAAACCAACCCTTCCAACGTCATCATCATTCTGATCAGTTTCATTGCCAACTGTCAAACAAGTGAAGCAAAGAGGAGGAGGATGATGAAGTGATAACATGATATTTAATGATAGTTAGTGTAAATTTGATATTATGTAAACATTTTGATAAAATGGGACTCAAAAAAAACCACCAGACATATAAATATAAACATACAAATTCATGTGCAGCTTCACAAACGTACACGTGTAAAACTCACACACACACACACACACACACACACACACACAGACAGACAAACATACTTGTCTGACTACCAGCCAGATTACGTTTAGCATTGCATATCCACTGTTCAAACGTTGTAGCGTCGGTTGAACTATGAAACGTCAGACCAAACTTCTGCCCCTGAGTCTGCCAATGATGGAAGAGCGAGTTGCCCTTGGTGTACGAGAGGTCCTTCTTTAATATGCAATTCAGTAGACTCTGTGTTTTGACATATTAAAATGAATATATATACATATAAAATAAATGAATGAATGACAAACGAATGAATGAAGGAAGGAATAAACAAATGAAAGAATGAACAAATAAATATTGCAGTAGCTGGTTATACTGCCCAAGTTGTTGTAGTAAATTTGATGCAAATATAGTAAGCCTACTGACAAGTTTCAACATTATTACTGGCTACAAACAAGTTTCAACATTTAGTACTGACCAAATTTTTGAGAACCAACCATATAGCAGTTAAATTGTAAAAGGCATGATGAACATTGAACAGGTAGAGCAATTAAAGATATGAAACTAGCAGTTATAACTAATTTGATTTTCAATTTTGCCTCAAAGTTGTCTAGATTTGTCATTGCAGCTAACACCCATACCAGCCTTAATGCTTTACACAATCAGCATTTGAACCTGGTCACTACACAACACAAACAAAACAAAATATGACACTCCTATTACATTAGCTAACTTGCTGTCGATAACAAAACTATCAAAATATGGAACAGTGATGATGAAATTAAAACAAAACACGAAATCAACGATGGGACACCACTCACTGCGTTATCTTTGACTCTCCTTGCATTAACTCTGTATTGAACATTATCAACTTTTGTTTCGGTTGGTAGGGAGCTCAGACCGACGACACTCAACCCGCCACCATCGATGGGCACCCACCCCGCATCACTCCTCTTCATCACCTGTGCCTTCACCTCCACTGACGCATCACTTCTGCAATAATTCAGTAATTATTTGTTTGTGAGGAATTTTTTTTAAAAACTTCTATTTCAAATTGTAAACAAACCAAAGGGGCAAAGCTTAGAGTTAGGATTATAGATTATGAAATAGCAAGCAAGTGATACAGTCAAAACCAACAAAGCAAACCTTTCCTCACTGTCAGTCGATTCAACAGCAGAATCATTCTGCAGTGACTTCAAGGCATTTGTTGTTGTAGTTGTTGTTGTGGTTTTATCAGTTGTTGTTGCTGTACTGTTAATCTCTGTGCTCATTCTGTTGAATAGGTATACAATGAACATATAACAGACCACACCCATTAAAAACATCATTTGGATCAAATGTGATAGTTACATTTAAAATTAAAGAGGTTCATTTTGAGTAATCACCATGTTATCACATCATCATGTGATCTGCTGATTAAAATCAAAACAAAATTATACAATGAATTAATAATAGAATCAGCTTATCCACTAATCAATATCAAACAGTATTTCATCTAACCTTACTCACATTGATACAATGTAATGCATCATATATGATGATACAAACAATGCAATGTATATTGTATAAGTATAACACATATGATACATTGCAATGTTCAATGTTATATCATAATAATAAATAATCATACTCATACATAATCATGATACATTGCAATTGTTGTTGCTGTACTGTTATTTACTGTACAGCAACAGCAATTGCAATGTATCATGTCATGTACGAGTATGATTATTTATTATGTATTAGATAATAAGGTAAGTTTATCATATTTCTTAACTCTTAAAACAGACACACAGAAGTAAAATATTTTAATTTGAATTTTTTATCATAAATTTTGATTTTTGATAAATGAAATGAATAAAAAATAATTAGTAAATGAACAGTTTAAAATTTAATTAAATTTAATAATTTTTAAAATTTAAACAAACAAGATAGCAATCTATAAGAAAGTTTGGGGCTTTAGGGCTTTTTAGGCCTTGTGCATATTTAAAAAACAAATCAAATCCAACTTACTAACATATTTAGATAAATTAATTAATTATTTAATTTGTTTGTTCTCTTTTCTTGAAAATTTTAATGAAGATGAATGATGAATTGTTGGATTGGTCCACTTGGTCAGAAGCATATTAGCCATTTAGGAAATAGCCAGAAAAATGTAAAATTCATAACAGAACGATGAAACGTCAGCCAGAAATTACAAATGAACGATATTTCGTTAAAAATCAACTCTTAAATTTTTAAAATTAATCGCGAAAAAGTTATTTTTATGAATGGAAAACTGGCGCATGCGTTCATACGCTTACACCCACGCAGTGTTTTCTTAAATTTTACATTTTTATTGAAATTTTAATTTAATGCAGAAAATAATGTGAAAGACGAAATGCTAAAATTTTTCATTTAAAACTTGTGATTGAAAAATATGGTAAAAAATTTATAGTCTTTACTGAAAAAACCAAACATTTCATCAAGAAACGATTATAAATTCCACGAAACTTGAAAATACTAAACAAACACATATAAATGTGTTTTTAATTAAGCCTATTTTATTAATATAATTTATATAATTGAACCGTATTTTGAAAAAAAACATTTATGTAAAAAAAAGCATTAAAGTAACTTTTAGAACCTTACCAGCGCACCTATGCAGCTAAAGTCTAAACATCTATTTAAATTTACACTTGGTTAAAAATTATTCTTAATAATTTTTTTTCTGGACGTTTTTTAGATAAAAGGCGTGCGTTTTTTGATAGACACAAAGAGGTTTTTTTACGTAATTGTTATAAAATGTCAGTCAAATTTTTATATTTTTAATACTTCGTCTTTATTTTCTTTAATTTAAGGGTTTTTTCTGTGACTTACATCAAAAGTCAAAATTTCAATTTTTTATAAATAAATTAAAAATTATATTGTATTATTATATTATATATTAATTATATAATATACAATACAGAATAACACATGTTAGTGTTTTGTTTGTTTTGAATTGTAATTGTTTGTATGTGTAATGTAATCATAACATATACAATGCATAACCATAAAGTCCATAACAGTTATATTATGCAATGTAATATAATTTAATAATTTTAATGTGACATCTGTCTATTTGTTGATAATATTATTGTATTAAAATTAAATTATTAAATTCATTTATTATTTTTATATTCATTTCAATCAAATTGTTATTTTATTTATATATTGACAAATTCAAATAGAAATGTACAACTATAATAATAATAGTATAATCAATGATAATCTATAGTCTATACTATATTTTTCAAAATTTAATTTTATAAGTTTTAGAATATGATTTGTTTTGAAATCTCATACTCAATGTTATTTTCTCTCTGGTTTGATCTTTTTTATTCTTGTCATATTTATTCATTCATTCATTTATTTATTCTTACATTCATACAGATTCATTCATTCATCTAGTCATTTAATCATTTTTTTCATTTTCATTAGTTTTTAAATTCAAGCAAAGATAAAGTATAACCCATCAAAATCATTTTGTTTAATAAGTGTTATTTGGTTGATATAGCCTAGTAGACATAATTATTTTAAATATTTTAAATTTTATTACCAATAAATTATGATTAATAGCACAATTATTGGTCATTGATGAAGTTATCAGTAATTGGAAAATCCCAGTTTATAGCTGGAATTCCCCAGTCACATTGTTGATTGCCAATTATGAAAATGGGTTAATTTTGAAACTGAACTTTTGTATTTGTCAAGTGTTGAAATTAAATTTTGCAATAAAACACACAAACAAAAAAGCAGGTAGACAAACACAAAAACAAACAAACAAACAAACAAGCGGACAAGTGAACACTCAAGTGAGCTTCATTCACCTTCATTAGAATTCTCTAATATTCACATTTTACTGTGATCTAAATAATTTACTGCTTCAAAAAAGTAATACGAGACGCATAAATCTAATTTGAGTATATATACTGACATTTATAATTATACACAATATACACACACACATATAGGTTAAAGGTTAAAAGCCACACACACATACCCTTATGTACACACGGTGTATAATATAAACAATCGTTTTTACGCATATATAACTCGTATATAAACATAAATAAAGCCTATATACACTTTTATAAAGCGTATATGCTTATATATATAACTATATGAAGCATGTATACACACATAAAGCATATACACGCGTATATAAAGTGTACATTAAGTTGTACACGCGTTTGTATACGTAAACGCATACCATATGTCACAGTTATGTACGCATATTTATGCGTACGCGCGCGTCATCTTGTGACGTATGCCAGTATCAAACTCGACATTTTATCAATATGCATATATATATATATATATATATATATATATATATATATATATATATATATATATATATGAATACATATATTATACACATATATTTGTATATATTCATGTACCCTTATTGCTATACGTATGGTGCATTTAAAGTTACCTACCTTTTTCATCATTGTTGTCATTGTCCTTGTTATTATTATTATCTTTATTGCTATTATTATTATTTTAATAAATACTTAACCCATGTAGAGTATAAACTCTTCAATCTAAAAATTTTCAAAATTCGTTCCCTCGAACTTATGACGTGGTTTTACGAATTTTAAACTAGTTCAGTGGAATGATCTGATGTAAGCATATATTTACGTATCTATCTATATCTATATATATATATATATACATATATATATATATACACAGGGATACATATATATATATATATATATATATATCCCTGTATGTTTGTTTAAGTGTGTTTGTCTGTATGCTATGCTGGTATGGACATGAGGTTTTAACTTTGTATTCAATCAGTCATCAGAAAATAGGTTAGGATTTATTTTTTAAAAAATAATATGGCTAACTTATTTTATGATTTTTTTTCATATATTTCTTGTTATAGATGAATTTTACAATTAGCTTTATTGCTCTTGTTTCTGTATTTTCAATAACTGCATTAACAGTTTGTGAAAAACTTTCTAAGATCTATGTATTTTATTCGTTGTGACTAAAAAAACTAAATTTTGCTGTATATGAAACGAGATTTCATCGTTTGTTTGTTCATTCGTACTTGACAAGATTAATTGTAATTTCTGTTTAGACAAGTGTTTGTTTGTTTTTTTGTTTGTTTGTTTGTCTGTCTGTCTGTTTGTTTCACCTTTATCTCTTAGTATGTTGCAGGTTTAGCTTGAATCCACTCCTATATCTTCTACTCTCAAACGTTTTGTACGTCTCCACAAATTGAAAAAACGCCTGATATGAAGTTCCAACTGATCGTGAGACGTCCTGGTTTGGTGCTAATTAAGGTAGCAAATTACTACCACGATTTATGCCCATTGAAGAAAATCGTGACGGCAGTCGTTAAATATAAACCTTTCCATAAAAGCGTATTTCACGTTGATTTTTACGGTTTCAGACGAATGAACGAACGAATGAATGAATGATTAATGAATGAATGAATGAACGAACGAATGAATGAATGAGAGAATGTTAGTTCCTGTGATGACAGTTTGATTAGATGGAGAAGAGAATAGAGAATAGGAGAAGAGATGGAGAGTGCATAGAATTGAGTAAATTCTCATTCCCAGTGGATATTCTTATTAATGGATGGAGTGGGCGTAACGAATGCACGTCCATAAGTTCGTTCATTCCTATGAAAATGATTCCATCTACACGGTGTATTCATTTACGAGCACAAAAATTACATCTGGCTTTTATTTTGTAGGCAGTCAAAAATAAAAACACCGTACGCCAGTGTATTCAAAAGAAAAAAATAACTAGGACAATTAGGTGAATTTTTAATACCCTTATTTTTGCCGTTGTTGCTGGCGCAAGCAGTTCTCGAGCAATCAATACACATCACGCATAGTACAGCTCTGCATTCTTCTCTTTTGTTTTTTCTATTATTCTACTACTGCTTGCATGCTGTTGTTGTTTGTTGTTGATGATGTCTTTTCTGCTG